GCATTTGTTTACATGACCATTTAATAAGATTACATCAGTGGTACTGACACCAGCCCCGCTTCACAGTACTCTTTTTAATTATGGGAAAACATCCCCATCACCTCCCTAAAGGGGACAAATGGCTTGTACCGGTTCTGCTTGTGAGCAAGCCCATTTTACAAGCCCTGCTCACATCTGAAATGCAGCTTTAGCTACTGCTGCTGCAAAAGTATGATCTTGGTTCTTCAGGCAGCACAGTAAGAAAAGGACAATACAACTAAAACGGAACCTGAACCTTAAGATAATGCAACACCATTTGTAGGTCTAGAACTCTAACACAGTAAAGAACACAATAAAACATATTTGTTCTCACAGGACACATCCTTCAGCAATATCTCAAAGGTCCCTGACAAAAGCAAGCTGCCATTGCAGACAGGCAGAACCATCCTATACTGGAATCGGAGACATAACTACACAAGGAAAAACAAAAAGGAGTGAAGCCTTTCACACTGGTATAATACCATATTGAAACATCCTTAATTCTAAAAATAAAAGATGTGAATTCAGTAGGTTGATTGTAGGTTGACCAACCGGTAAGTTGGTACTAATTTTGTGTAATAAAAACACACCTTTTCCAATACAGATAACCGAGATTGAGGGAATAGCATGGTGGTCATCAGATACACGAACTTATTTGGTTCAAAAATATTTTTAAACTAAATCTCTTAAAGGACAGAACAATCTAATATATTTAAGGCATTTTAGTCATGTATATTAGTCACAATAGAGTCTGTCTAGTTTTACAGCAGTGACATAAGCAAGTTTAACTGCAGCAGGTGTAATCATGTAAGGGTAAACATGGAAGTAGAGAGTGGTCACTTTTTTCGTGAATGGGGAACGGCTGAGCAGGTGGTCAATTTTTGTACATTTTTAATTCTTAATTGCACAGACGAAGTTTGAAAACATTTACATCCAGACAGAAGTTCTGGCAATCTAGAGGATGGGTGTGGCAGATAGGACGATAGCAAGTCAAGTGAAGGCATTAGACCATTCAGGATAAGCAAAATCTAACAAGCACACCTTATCATTAAACATTTAAGCAGCAGATATGATATACGCAACAATGTAGAAAAAAAACTGAATTTTCATGGTCCCTAGAAAGGTCTTTAAAAGGTAGGGCTATTATTTTATCAAGTCTTTCTTGGAAAAATAATTTTAATGCAATGTAAGCAAGGCTGAGTTTCACATTTCAGTGAAAACAGGTAACACTGTAGAATTCAACTTGACAAGACAGACTTTGATCAAGATGAATCAAAACACCATGACTGAAGGTGTTTCCAGTGTTTACGCATAAATAGACAGGGACAGAACGAGTAATTATAGTATCTTTTTTCAGGACAGGCAATGCTTGTGACAGAAGATAACAAAACATGAGACTATTGTGTCATTAATTTAAACCGAATGTACCATCCCAAACACTGTTCAAAGGGGAAATCAGGTGGGGGAGAAGGATGTTCGATAATAATGAAATATAATTTTATAATTACCAGTTTATTTACAAAAGCAAAATTCCTACTTGGTCACTGAATGAATAGTATGTAAACAGTGTTATATGGTTAGTGGAACCTCACCTAGTTTAAGATGTAAACTTGGCAGGATCAAAGGGTATTAATGATTAAAATAATATAACAATAATCATAAAAAAGGTAGTAAAATTGGACATATGTACTGTAAACTGTTACTGGTAGCATCACCTACTTAGCACTCCAGACCGAGCAATAACTTTTGACGTCACAAACCTTGCTGAGCAAACCCCTAAACAAACTGCAGACTATCTGGACACAAGCAAGCCATCTCATCTACAGGACAATGAGCTTCCCACACGCAATGTCATTCTGGATCGTTTAACCTTTGTATCCTTTCCTAAAGCAGGCGTAAGAAAACTATTCCAATACATGCAGTTCCAAAGAAGTTTCAAAGTCAGCTGGAATAAGGAATTGTAAAGTAATGGCAACAACAAACATCCTCCATAGGTAACATACATAGCATTACCATTTTCCAAGGGATAGGATTTGAGCAGACATATGAGGAGGATAAGGTGCCATCTCTAGTTTGTTTTTTAAAATGCAAATCAGTTTTTTAAATTATGAAGTTGCTTTTTCAGCTAAGGGAAACTATTCCTCAATAAATGGCCTGACAGCAGTCTACACTTTTTTAAATTGATGCATTGATTTATCACAAGATAGACTTTGTCCAGGCTATTTCCAATGAGGAAAGTAAATGCCATTTAAGAAACCTTTACATTCCCTAGACTGTTCATGTACGTTACATGAGGAATCATCATTATATGAAGGCTTTTTACAAATATCTATAAGCTTTTTACAAGTAAAATACAAATTAAGGCATTAGTTTCTCACAATAACAGTGAATTCAAACTGATATCAGGTTAGCAGCTGAGATTATTAAAAAGCAATGTTTAAAGATTTTGTTTCATTTTTATTTCTCTAAAACCTGCCTTTGGTTGGCTACCAGGCGACCTAGGTCATTTTTTATTGTTAGTGACAGTTTCCATCAGCTACCACAACAGACAAATTACATTTTTGTTCAGTTTTTGCCATTGTACTGTTGAAAAGGAAAAAAATATTGAGCCCATGAATCAATATTTAGAGATAAAACCACAGATCAGTGATTGAGAACTGGTTTGTCACATCAGTCAGCAGTGGGTAGACTGGTCATTTTCAGGGCCCCTACATCAACTCCTCTAAAATAAAAGCAGACAGGCCATTGTTGCTGAAATCCAGGCTTAGTGAGCTGGAATTCACCTATCTGTCATTTCAACAGTTGTTGGAATCATGCTTTTTTAGGGGATGACAATTGATTTAAACATTCTAACTACCATCTAGGACTGAGTACCAAGTTGACAAAATGCTCATGAATTTAGGAAAGGTTTAAAAAAAACAGATAGCTCACAGTCCTGTTAATTACCGAAAGGTAGAAGATTTTACTACAAGCTAATTAAGCAGCCTGGTGACACTACTCCAGGGACCCATGCTCTGTTGCAGTCCATGGCACCTGTCTGTAGAGTTTGCTTTCACACTGTTATTTGCCAGGTGCTCCAGGTGTCTCCAGTCTCACAAATACACTCAGATTAAGACTAATCGGCTATTCTAAACTGTCTCTTTCTGGGGTTGTCTTCACGCATGGGGGAGAGTCAGTTGCAAGTATCGGTTATGTGACTACTGAATCAAAAGAGCAGAATACGCCAAATTACATCCTGTCCGTTATGGCTCTTGTGGTATCAGATATCTATAATGAGTTATGTGGGTCTGCATTAGACACACAGAACCACTGCTGATGCACACTAATTTTGTACATTTTTACATTATACATTAATCTTAACACTATTCATCAACAACAGCTGACATTTGATTTACAGGTAATTACAGCTATATGCAATGTTCCTGTTATAATGTTTCAGCGAATCCTGGAAAGGAACAAGATAATGTGTCAAAGACTTGATATGAAGCACTACTTACCTAAACTGTACCAAACGCACAGGATATGAAAGTCATTTATGAGAAAAAACAAGTTCATGTTTATGAGGCTAAAATAATTAGATGACTTGTATTTTAGCACTCTTTTCATTATGCATTTTGTGCTACTGCATTGCTCCTTGACACAGAAATCTTCGACGGTTGTAATAATATACAAGATTCAACATCAAATATGTTTCCTGGCTTTTCTTTTTCTAGTACACCAGCAAATTCACATTACAAATTATTCCAAAACCACAGAGAGCTCCGTCACCTGTGCTACTATCCTCAAACACGATGTCAAGGAAACCTGACTTACAGCATACAAGCTTTTGGGAATGTTTTCTGTGAAATACAAAGACACAAAACATAACTGCAATTAAAATAATTGACTGGTTGGCTTAAGGAAAATACCAATCAAGGCATGCTAATTTAGTCCAAAATGAAACACACTGAATACAGAAGAAACCTACCAGTGAATACAACATCATTGAGAATTATTATTATATTATAACATGTTTGGCATAATTACATAGATGATGGTACCAATTAACTCATAACTGATTATCAGCATTGGTGATTTTCCACACTTATAAAAGCACTGAGGAGGTGCCCAGCAGTGCAGTAGCAATCACTGCATTATTCTTTTATTTACCCAACACATCCCATTACTACAACATTGCTTCACGAGTAAGAGTACCTCATGCTTTTTCTCATTACAGGAGAAACGCCACTTTCTCCAGCTTTTCCATAATAATCCCTTGCCTCAGCGAGCAAACACCTCAGAAATGCATAAAGATATCTGATGAAATGATCATTAATTCTATTTAATATGGATATTTTCAATCACTTACCTCTGCCAGTGATTGATTCATTTCAATCAGTTGCATCTTATTATTTTCAGAATAAGACCGCACATTTACCCTCACACAGATGAAAATATTTTACATCTACTACGATCAGAAGTGACAAGAATTTAAGATTTATTAATGTTCATGGACTTAAAGTCATTAAAGATTATGCTGCCTATCCTTCACTCTCCAGAGCACGGTGACCAAAGACTTTCAATTTCCCTTGTTAACAAACTAACTGTTGTCACAAAGCAGCTTTGCAAAATGGAATGGGATTCATATGGCTAGAAAAATAGAGATGGATCAAAATCTTCAAGAATTAAGAATAAATATAGAAGTCTGTTTTTAATTATATGGCATATCATTTCTTTGGGAGGATATTTTAGGAAAAATAATTAAAACGATGTATTGCATGCTGAAAGAAACGAAAAGATTAAAAAATTTAATTAAGCTGTACTGATGATTGGGAACATAGAAATTAAGCATCTTCTGTGCAGTCCTTATAAAGAAATGAAATGATCGCGTAAAACGCAAAGTAAAAAAATGTTTCTTATAAATGACTTGTGTGAAAACAGCCGTATGAGCTGGGACAGGACATTTTTTCCCCCGCTACAAAACATATATTCACTCAGCTTACCATCCACTCCGAAATAATAATGTCCACTTTTTCAACTGGTAGGTCTACTTCTTCTATTCTTCCTTTGATTAAAGTAATGATGTCTTCAAGACTGTTTGATCTGTTGGAAAACCATTGTAACTCAGTTTTAGTGCACTAATATTATAGGGCATCGGCAGCATAAAAAAAACATATCAGGGTATTAAATAAAAGAAATTATTAAAATAAAAACAAATGCATTTTCTTGGTCTAACGCCCTCATAGTCATTTATAAATATAACCGTAAACGTTTTTTGGATGATATATCAATTATTCAGTGGCCACAAATATTTTTGGAAGTTGATTGATAAAGAAAACACGACTTATGAAAACAAAAGCACTCTTATTACACCTATTATAATTCTGCCAATCACTGGCACCTCCACTGAAGGCTTAGGATGAACTCAACTGGGATTGCATTAGCCAAGTAAGCTTCAACTTGCATTTAGCTTAGAGAGACAGATTCGCTGATAAGCCCTGCTAGATCAGAATAAGCAATTCATTTGTTTCCCAGTACAAATAAACACCCAACAGATTTCTGACATTTTGAACAGGTCTGAGGAATGGCATCTCAGCTAGCTACAACTAAGAGAATAAAGATCATGCCCAGAGAGATAAAACCTCCAAGAATGAGCAGTGCAGTATCTCCATGCTCTGAAAGCAAAAACAGAATACTTTCACTAAGGCTGACCACGCACTGTACCTGTACACACATTCAAGTTGTTAGATACTAAAGGAAATGAAAATGAAGAGACATAAAAAGGTTCTGAATTGAAGAGATATGTGTTTTTCACTTGCATTGAAGATGTTTTGCCCTATATGGCCGGCACCCTGTATTAACCAGAATACAGTATTGAAGTATGAAGCCAATATTAAAAAAACATGGAATAACAATCAAGGAAAACAATTATTTTATATTATTACAATATAAACTTAAACTTTCAAAGATTTTCATAGATACTGTTGTGATTATGCTTATTCTTTTAAATTTCTCAAGACTTAATGTTCTCAAAATCAAAGCCCTCCACTCATTATTAAAGGTGATTTCCAAAAACTACAGAACAACAGTATTGAATGGATGGATGGGTGGAATGGTAACTATAAATGGTAACAGTAAGGTACGTGTTTGCGTAAATTCCTAGTTCATCGTACAATACATTACACAAATCATTGAATGCACAGGAAAAGGCAGCAAGCCTTAATTAGATTTTCTGCATATATGGGACATATACTGTATATGTATCATATATGTATACATGGTTATATAAACAACATGGGTCTCAGAGTCTTTCCTGGGGCCTGAAATATACTTCAAAAGCACCAAAGAATGTTCTATGTTATAAAAAACACTGAAAGAAACACTCATGAAGGTGGCAGTCTTCAACCAGCACAATTTGTATAGCAAAGCACTAGATAATTGTACCTCCAGAGCTACCCTTTACATACTCTGCTGTGAATACAAACACTGAACCCAAAACAAATATCAGCAAACAATGAGTGTGCCTAAGTTTTAATGATCATCCCATTCTCCCAAGCACACAGTATCAATCTTTCTGAATATTCCATTATCATGACAGCTAATGTTACCGGGGACAGAATAATTACTCACACCCGTAAAATTTATTTCTACAGAGCGATCCTTATCTCTAGCTCTTACTGCTATCTCATTCTCCCAGAATCCCACAATCACTCTCTGCCTGGCTCTAAAGGAAACACTGTAATCTCATTAAAAGTGTAATTTAGAGGACAATGCTGGAGACAACTGCAATGAAGGGTGGGAGAAGAAGGCGTCAGAGTGAAAAGCACTGGTGTACTTGTTAACTTCCTTTATTTTAAGTCAAGTACTCTACACTACAGAGGTCACGCAAATATGCCAGGAATAAATAGCTAAACAAAATGGTAAATTACAATATTCTGCTGGTGCTTCATTCATCAAACTTTAAAAAAATGTTTCAGAAACCATCAATGAGATCTTTTCAAGCTCAGATATGCTCAGCATGATCTGTATAAAAAGGTCACTTTAAACCCAGAGAGATACACTCTTTTGGTGCCAGTATTAATAGAACAATTTGCAAGGCTTTCCGCTTCCAGATGTGGAACTACAGATGACGATTATTTCTTTTGTAACTAGAAACTGTACTGATAAAATGTAATACAAATGCATTCATGATTATCGTAATTTCACATTTATTTAAGTAAGAAGTTTAATTTTTTCATACCAGTTTTCACATAGCCCAACATTAAAATCATTAAATATGTACTTGTACTATAAAATGTGACTCTTGACTTTTTAAATCCAAAGCAGTGAAATAATACTGTAAAAGGGATCTTTCCATAAAGTGTTGTTTGTTCCATTTTCCCAATACCTGACCACACTGATATCCTGGCTTCCGTCAAGAAACAGCTGGACGACATCCTTGGCTCGATCAGCTTCTCACAACAAAATGAGCCGAATGGGCTAAATGACCTCTTTTCATATCTGGACTCCATTTAAAAATGCAATCTCTGTTACAACCAGTTTTCTTGATTATGGAAATGAATTAATTAGTATAGCAATCAAACAGGAACTGGATATACACAGAAACGTTCTAGAATGAACAGAACTGTCCAGTATCTGATTTTTATAACTGTTTTAAAATCACTGTGTTATTCACTCCAAGAAAAATAATATCATAACCTCGGTTTTCACAAAGCCATACGATAGGGCTAAACAATATGACTGCAAATGAGCTAAGATGCACTGCCGGGGTTCCTGAAGTTTTCAGCAGTCGATCTCCCTACAGCAGGCTGTCTGCAGGGGACTGCACTACGGTACACACTGACAGGACTGTGCTAGCATGCGGATCAACTTGTATTAGCAGCATCAAGGCTGGAAAGATGAACTTTAGCTAGCGTGCCTTTAAATTCTAGGACCATGTAAACTGACACAGACTTCATGGTGGTCAACCATCCGAAATAAATAAAGGTTGAAAGGTCAGCTAGACTGCAGCGCATTATATAGCACAATATACCTTCGGACGTTTTCTTACAGCTGGGTTATGGAGCTGTGATGAAGATGAAGAACACAGAGCAAAATCTGTGACACTACACAAGAGGGGGGAGGGGGGACTCAAGCAGTCAAGCTAAAAGGTCCATCGGCATGGGTAGAAAAACACTCCCATGTGGGGGGACAAGGCTAAGCATCACTCGAGCAAACGGACCCAGGCAGCAGAAAAGAGCCCGATTCCTGCTCTTGTGGTCCGGGTGCAGCAAGTGTGTAATGTGAACAAAATAGCACATCACTGAAAGAGACACAGAGGGAGAGAAGTTAATCTATTTTATTGCATGAGCCACCTCACCCCCAAAAGGTTGCATATGTAGCGTGGGGTATTATATTGATATTAAAGATCAAATGAGGAGCAGACAATCAGCTAGTAAAAATCATTTTTAAACACTTTATCTAGTTTTGAAAATCCAATTTTTTTTATAACCTTCATGTCTCAGCGCACCTTTTTTGTGTTGACAGGTATCTAACACAGCTGTTAACTTGTATTTCCAGAAAGCACTGCATTACAACTGGTCAACCTTTTCCCAACACCTTGAACATGAAACACAAGTACTAATAAAAGGCAAACTAGGAGGCACAGAATACTACACACTCCAACTACATTCTACCATCAATTTAAAGAATGCAAGAGAAGGTAACAGGTCTAATGAAGACAACATCAATGTTCCTCACCTCACAATGTCCATAGCCTGATAGATGATCTCAGACTGGTCCACTCCTATCACCTTTTTGGCTCCTGCTCTCGCTGCAAACATTGAAAGAATACCGGTGCCACAGCCAACATCCAAAACTACCTGCAGGTCAGCAAAAAAGACGATAAGAATCTAGGAACATCTGGAGAGCATTCATTTTAGAAGCACTGAATGCGCTAGCAGAAGTAATTTTTTATTTAAAATGCATACACACCACCAATGAGAAACAACAGATAATACATTGGCAGATTGTGCTTCTCTAATTAAATCTATAATATAATTGTTTCTACCAATAAGCACATCACCAGATTTTCCCCCACTTGTGAAACACTGCCACAAACACACACAAAGTACAGTAAAATATAATTCAAGTGATTAATCACAAAAAAAACATACTGTACTGTCACATAAAAGGTACAAACAGGCCCCCACAAGAAACATGCAGGCTTCTGAAAATGGGTCATTAAGAGGTGTAAATCTAGAACAAGGACAAGACTGTAGTTCAGAGATCTTTGGCTCGCGTTCCATCACACTTTAGTGAACAGCAACCGCAACCCTTGTGGGTCCTTACCCGTTCTCAAATCGAGTACAACATCTCAATTGTGATTTCAAATGATAGATTGTAAGGTTTCACCATATTCATATGAATGCTCACAGAACTCAGGTGGTCAGGGGTTCCACACTTTTTCAGTCCAACATGTTCAAAATCAGACTCTTAAGGCTAAAACAGTTAGGTAGTCGTTGTCAACATAACTAATGGCCATGATGTCGGACAGTACCAAGTGTAATGACAACACTGATCTGTATTTCTGTTATCAGTGCTCTGCAGTCTTCACAAACTAAATAACACTCTCATGTGCAATAACACTAAGGTACATTAAATCAGCTCCTGTCTGTGGCACTCCTCTCCCAGAGATAGCTAACCCAGGAGGGCTCTCACTGTAGAATAATACTGCAAAACCCCTAATAAGACCAGCCTGCCCCACTTACCTTGTCCTTGAAGACATCTGGATTGAGGCACATGAAGTCCCTGTAGCTTTCTGTCCGTACTTTGTCCTGCATATATCATTACAAACAAAAAAAGCAGGACTGCTTATTAAAATTTTGTCTTGTAGCAAATTATCTAGCAGAATAAAAAAAGATTAAAAATGTAAAAACCCATGCATTGTACAAAACAATAGCTCATGAACACTTTTGTCAACACCTTTATGCTTTACAATAAATGTGCTACCTAAAGCCTTTCAAAGAAGCCTATAGACAGATATTCATTAATCAATTAATCATATTGGTGTTTCAAATAAATTATATTTTGTTTCTTTCAGATATTTTAGCTTAAAAAACTTGGCTGCATAAAAATAAATTACTTCTCACAAACAACAAGATAACATTGATTTTTCAAAAAGAATCCAGCCTGCAACAATGAGACATGGATGTTACTTTATTACAGAACTAGAAATAAAAAAATAAGCTTCTAAGCTTCTACCATTATTACATGTAGCTCAGCATTTTTATCACTAATCAGGAACGAGCTACATGTATATGAATTAAAGGGGCACTGCAACACTTTTTTTGTATTGCAGGGTTAGAAAGAATCAGCATTGATGAGTGCATTTCAAACCACAATAAAAGTAAAATGTACACAGTAATGTACTGTATAAAACCTCCAATTTACATCACAAAATAGACTAATTTTCCCAGTATGAGCAGTGCATATTCTGCAATTCAGAATGAAGCAAAAGAATTCTGGTGACGTTAAGCAGCACTATTTCATTGTAAACAAGCAGGCTTGTGAAAACATCTCTTTTAATGGAATAGAAATATTGCTCTCAACTTCCAAGAGAGTTTTGCCAACAGATACTACTTGTTAACTCTGCATACAGATCACGTTGGAACATTTCTGCAGTGAAATGACTGCTACACAACCTGTATTTGTTCACTTGTACATCACATCACATTAGCCATTACAGTGACTAGCGAGCAGGAAGGGCCACACCGTGTCATAATTTGTAGGAACTCACTCTCTCACCCATTACTGAGATTTAATAACCGGTTTGAGAAATTGGGGCCGCAGTCCCGCTTTATCAACTCAGCATAAACAACAGAAAGAGTGTGTGCTGAGGATTTATATAAATCTACAAATTTACTCTTCTGTTCTTCAATGATCCCTTTTTTAACATTGATATTATTTTTTCTGTTTTTTCTCTTATGGGCTTTTCTATAAATGCAGCGCAATAAAAGTTAAATGTACACAGTAACGTACTGTATAAAACCTCCAATTTACATCACAAAATGCAGCAAATGGATTAAAAATTCTAACAAGGTAATCTACCAAAGCCAACAAACAAAAAATAGACAAAAAGAAACACAAAACAATAATTGTATAATCATACTCTTCAATATTTTGCAGATTTTTCAAAGAACTACTGCAACATTAATATTTATAATGATGCAAAACTGAAGCAACATAGATTGAGCAGAAAGCTATGAAAGTTTTTTTGTAGTTCTATTATCTACACCGCAAATACTCATACCTTTTACCTTTGTATTAATGGTAAAAGATATTTCCCCAACTCTTGCTTTAAGAAAAACGGAAAAACAGCTGCAAAACTGCTCCAAGCAATTTTACACCAAAGGTGCACCTACAGCAGAGTCCAACACAATGTCTGACCAACACGGCTGTGCACCAAAAGGCTTTTAAATACAAGCCATTATCAATTGTTCTCCTGCAAGTAAATCCCCTTCTTTATAACTGCACCAGCTTTCTTGATTGGTCTAATGAATATTTTTACTTGCTATATCACGAGTCCTTAAAGAACTGCAATTACATCTGCAGAACTGGCAATTAAATTAGCAGACAATTTTCACAGGACAGCATCTACGTTTAATGCACCTAATTAAAAACAATGTTGCATTAAAGACAGAGAAGAATTTACAAGTACTGCACACATCACTTGAACAGAGAAAACCCCACAAAGTTAAAAAAAAACTACAGATTTAAGTTCCTCATGAAATAAAGATATCTACTTTATAATCAGACTGCAATCTATTTATTTATTAGCTTTTGTAAGTCAAAGCACAGCAAAACTCTGCTTTCAAGTGGAATTCCTGAGAAATGCAAAGTAACTGCACCTCTGCAAACTTTATTTTGAGGTTAGGTCCCAAGGCCTGAGAAATATAAGAAGCAGTAACAATTTGAAAGAAAAATAACTGAAAACTGAGAAAAATGTTTTTCGCCTATTTTAATTAAAAGGAAACTGCTTTATGCCACTACAAAGCGAAAGACTAGGGACAGAAGGGTTAAAAATGCAGTATTTCCCACATACAGTGCGTCATGGGACGTTGGTTTATGGGAGCTCGTAAAACATTGACGTTTCACTTTTGGATGATGCGCATTAGGGTGTGAAGCTCCTTGCGTATGTTGGTTTTATGCAGCACTGGACACAAGACAGGATGAATTCTAAACCAGCAGAGATACGGCACTGCGGCGCATCAAAACGCCCACAAAGAGCGGGCAAACTGCGCCTTTGTAGCTACTGGAAAAATTAATGAGGACACTGAAGCACGAAACAGTGATCCACAACTCTGTTCTCCCTCACTTGCTCCCAGCATTTTTATTTACTGCAGTGCTTTGTGCAGAAAGTCCCCCACCTTTAGCATCTCCTCATGGATCCCATAGTGCCCGTAGGAGGTAAAGTAAGCCTCATCCTCGTCTTCTCGCAGCTCAGCTATGGCACCGGCAGCCGAGACACCCGTTCTGACATCTGCGTTCATCACCAAATTCTGAGCAAATTGTCTGTAATCAATTTCAAACACATCCTTGAGGCAGAAGAACTGGACCATGAAAAGGAACAACTCTGCTGCAGTGGAATTTTCCCTCCATCTTTTCTGCCCATTCATTAATGAGCTTGAGATCCCTCTTCTGGTGGCAGAAGGAAAAGCAGGCAGCCTAGGGATCTCAGTATTAACATGATCTCAGTATTAACATCCCAAGGGGATACTACTCAACACACCACGTATATATAATTGCTCACATATAGATGTGTGTTCATAACACAACATAAATTATTCAAGACCTAAAATGATTTTAACGTTTTCTACATTTCTGTTGCTTTGTACTGTTCAATGATATAAAATACACAATTATAAGGTTTGCAAAATTGAATTGTAAATTGTAAAAGCTTATACATATATTCTTTGAAGAACCAGATTTTCTCTCAGTCTGCAAATGGACTGCATTTTCTAGAATCACTAAACATTTTTCTTTGGCTTCTGTCTCAATAGAAAACCCCAGAAGCCGTTAACTCTCAACGGGATTAAGAAACATCTGGAACATGTGATAGTGAGTTTCATGCAGTCAAAAGGTCTAAATCCTGAGCTGAGGGAAATAATATCACCTCAACTTCAAACCTAATACCAGAATACTAACCTAAACTAAAGGCCCTGGTCTAATTGATTAAAACAAATAACAGGCTTAGTAAAACTGTGTGATTGTGAAAATACAAGAGTGCACAGAAATAAAAGGGACTGGTGAAAGAATAAAACTGACTTTAACTTGTGCAGGTCTTCCAAAGCTCTGGCCAGAGCTTCCTCAGCCCGGCGGGAGTTCTCCTCAGCCCTCTGAGCCCTGAGGAGAGCTGCCTGTGTCTGACTCTCCTCTGCCAGCTGGTCAGGCTGGTCAGCTGCCATCCGCTGCCCATCCCAGAGTTCTTCAACATCTGGTTCAGAGGGAAAAGACAAGAAGCAATTCTGATCTCAGCTGGACAGGCAGAACTCCACCCCTTTAAAGGTAACAGAGAGGATTCTTTCATTTGGCTACTTTTCACGTGCAAATCACTCCAATCCATAATGTGCAGCAAAAGAGAGAAACTCTGACACTGACAAGGTTTACGACCAATCCATCTGTTAAGTTAATCAGACATCATGAAGACACTGTACACAGATTATGTTCACTTTTTCACTATATTAGTGATAGAATATATCATATACTATACTATATTATATACTTATTAGAGGATAATGAACGTACTTCCTTTGCCATTTCTGCTACTTGTCTAAACATTCTCAAAACAGATCATGCATTCCAGAAACAAATAATTTATCATAAAATGTGTTTTCAAACACTAGTCAAGCAAAAAACAGGACTTCTTAAGAGGATTACCCCTGTAAGTGGTTAATGAATGGCTAAGGGGTCTCTGATGAGCATTCTCTCTCGTATCATACACAAATTAAAAAGAAATATTTCAAGAAACATAGCAAGAATGCTAAATCTTAAATTATTTGGGGTGTATGTTACGAGTACTGTATCAAAACTAGCAAGAAGGAGTACAGATGTGTGAATGAAAAAGCATCAACAAACATATAAATGCATACCAATCTGGAGAAGTAGATCATCCTGCAAAGCTGGTTTCATGAATTCATCACCGTTCCATGGAGCAGTATCACAGACTGACATTATACTCTCTGGGGTGCATTTCTACAAATCAAAAAATAAATACCACGAGTCATATTTACAGGAGTCCTTCTCTTGACGACGCTGAATACAACTTATCTTTTTAACAGATCCTACATAATTCCTTCATGATAATACAATAACACAAAACAGAGTTACAGAAAACAAACCAGGTCCATTTTAATTATCTTAATGAATGTTAATAGCAGTTAACTGTGTCCTCTTTAAAGATGCACTTACAGTACTGTTAAAATCCTAAATGGCAAAAGCATTGTCATAACCATACACCTATACAAAATATATATAATATGAAAACAAAGTAAATTCTAACAGTCTCATACACTTACCATCAATCTAATGTAGTTTATAAACTTAATATAGCCATAGTCATCTAGTTCTGTAAAGGACAAAATACTTCAAGTTAATTTAAACCAAATTCATTCATACCACATTATAATACAATAAATGTGACCTAACATTGAAATGGTTACAAACAAATTTGCAGGAGTACATTTCTATCATTGATCACTTACTGTGTTTCTGCACTGCTGAGACAATGTCAAAATGGTGTTCCAGTTTACAGTGGGAGAAAGCATCTTGGACAGAATTTAACAACCTAATTAAAACAAGGAAAACGCGTTTTAAAAATTTACATTTGAAAACAGTGACAAAAAATATGTTAAAGAAAAAAGGCAGTGAACCCATGTACAGGTGTAAGCTAATCAACTACATATTGTAACGCAACGGGGGCTCAGGCGGGCGCCCTTGCCGCATCTGGTCGGCCCCATCCCGACTGGAGGCTCGAACCCGGGACTTCCGCGTCTCTCTGCAGCGACCTAGCCCCGTGAGCTAAAGAGAGTTAGCTCACAGGGCTAGGTCACTGCAGAGAGACGCGGAA